AGGTGTCCTCTAACCCCCACAACCCACCTCTTAGTTCGGCTTTTCCAAATCCCACCGGTCCCCAGGCTCATGGGCCTTGCCAAACCCCAGGCCTTCTCGATCCTTCCCCTCCCCCACCATGCAACTTCGGTCTCTGAGACCCGCGGGCCGGAGGAGGATTCCATCCGCCCGGGCTCTCCAGGGAGCCAGGGGCCAGTTCCTTCCTGGCCTTGAGGGCCCATCAAAGCGGACCACGATAGACCTCTTTTACGACTGGGGGAGGGGAGGCGAGAGAGGAGACAACACAGAGCCAACTGAAAGCTGGGGATAGGTCTCCTGGAGAGGATTCGCTCCCAGAAGTAAAGGATAGGCAAGGAGATAATTCTCCCACAGCCCTCCAGCACGCGCTGGTCCCTTCCGGACCGCCCTCTGCCCATCCTCCTCCTAGCTCCGCCTCTGTCATCTACGGGGCGGGGGGCGGAGAGGGAGGACAGATTTGCCACCTTTGCTGTCAGCTAGGAAGCTGAGGAAGGCTGTCCTTTCAGATGTTTAACCTCTGTTCTTAATGTTCCAAGTCCAGGCAGGAACCAGCAACTAGAAAACAGCCTGCCCTTTGGGAGGAAGCGCATAGGACACGGCCTGGTCTCTCCTCAGAAAACCCCGTAGAGGTGGGGCTTTGATCCTTTAGGATGCTGAGCCAACCTTCACAGTTGTCGATCCTGCTATTGGGAAAGTTGCTCCTCGACTCTAGCTGCAGTCAGTCACATGGCTTTTCATTTCTGCTTAGTGGAAGGGCCTCTTAACTTCTCTGAGAGAGCTGGGACCAAAGCCTACGTCCAAAAAGGTGTGGGTGAGAGTAACCTAGGTCCACTAGCTCCCCGCCCCTGGCGCAGCAGCACAATGGGCTGCAGGTTTCGAGCCCAACTCAGCACTCTTGTAGGTGCCAATTTTAGCCTCTGCCTCTATTTTGGGCTCCACTGCCTCACCACTGGCTGAGCCCGCTGGGCTCCTCAGCCCCAGCACCACCCCCACGCTTCTCCTCCGGCCTCCCCTCCCACCTAGCAACTCCAACTTCACCTTCTTCACCCTATTCTCCTGTTTAAGAGCCTTATATAGTAAATGCCCGAAAAAGGGGAGAGGAAATAAACCAAGTCCATTCCAGGCCAGAGGGACAATTAGAAGCAGAAAGAACTTTCCCAGGGTCAAAGCTGCTTCTTTCAAGCTGGCACCTGCAAGGGAGACCTGTGGAGAAGCCAGAAAGCTCTCCGAAACCAACAGTCCTGAGGTTCCTGGCTCCAGAACACCAGACTTACCTCCCCCTCTGTGGTCAGCCAAGGCTGAGGAATGTACTAAATTTAAAAACAGGCAGGCAGAGGCCAGAGCCTGTCCTTGTGGCTCCACCCACTGGGGACTCTGCGACCAGGTTTGAGCTGGGACCTCAGCTTTTCCGGTAGGCCTGAGGTGGAGGGTGCTGAAAGTGGAGGGTAGAATCTTAAAGGGCCCAATACGACCCGGTTACCCAATAAATCTAGTTCTTGAACCCCAGCCTCTGAGGGATTTTTAAATACATAGAGGATCTTGCTGGGGAGATAGCTCAGTAGAATAAGAGCTTGCCTGGCAAGTGCAAGGTCCTGAGTTCAATCCCCAGTACTGCCAAAAAACAAAAAAACAAAAAAAAAAAAAAACACAGAATCTCTATGAAAGAAGTGGAAGTCAGGCATGGTGGCATACATCTATAGTCCTTGTGCTTTGGGAGGCTAAGGCAGGAGAATCACAAGTTCTAGCTCATCCTGGGCAGCTAAGCAAGACCTTGTCTCAAAACAAAACATGAAGAAGAAAAAAGAAAGAAGAAGAAGAAGAAGAAGAAGAAGAAGAAGAAGAAGAAGAAGAAGAAGAAGAAGAAGAAGAAAAGAAAAGAAAAGAAAAGAAATGAAAAGAAGAAGAAAAGAAAAAGGGCTGGGGATATAGCTCAGTACATTGGCCCTGGGTTCAATCACCAATACCCACACACACACACAATGTATTTTACTCTCCAACCTGCTTACTGCCTCCTACTCCAAACTTTTTAGTTCACTGACCATCCCAGCTATTGTTCATTATGCTGCCCCTCACCCTATGCCCTCGTGGTTCTTCTAAGAGATTCGTAAAAACAGAATGGAAGAGGGAGAAGCTAAAGAAGATTACCTTTAAAAACACCTGTATTAGGGGCCGGGGAGATGGCTCAGTGGAATAAGTGCTTCCCTGGCAAGTGCAAGGGCCTGAGTTCAATCCCTGGTTCCGCAAAAAAAAAAAAAAAAAAAACCACCTGTATTAGGGGATGGTGAGATGGCTCAGTGGTCTAAAGCACCTACTTAGAACAAGCTTAGCAAAGCACAGGGCCTGCGGTTCAATCCCATAAAAAAAGAAAAAAAAAAAAAAGGAAAATAAAAACACCTGTATTTATTTATTTATTTATTTATTTATTTTTAGAACTTTTTTTTTTTTTTTTAATATAACTTTATTTATTTATTTAGTGTGTGTATGGCCAGTTCAGCCCACCAGGGGGCGGGTCTGGCTGGCATGTGGTGCTGGGGATTGAACTGCGGTCGATCTCTGCTTTTGCTTAGCTTAGCTTGTTCTAAGTAGGTGCTTTAGACCACTGAGCCATCTCACCAGCCCAAAACACCTGTATTTAGTGAGCCAAGCTTGACTCAGATTACAGCTTCTGCACCTCTGAACAGTGAACACTTTTCTCTCCTTGGTGATTCCTCTTCACTCTCTCTTTTTTTTTTTTTTTTTTTTTAGTACAGGGTCTATATGTTTATCTTTCTCTCCTACCCAGTAATATCTTCCATATTTTCAGAAATTATTTTAATATTCACATAAACAACAATGTCTTCCAGAAACTAAAAGTGGCTACCACCTTCTTTAGTCCTTTTAACTTGACAGTATGATCCTCCCATTTCAGGGTCAGAGGGCTCACTGGGGATGTAGCTCAGTGGTAGAGTGCTTGTCTGGCATGCACAAGGCCCTGCACTCAATCCCCACAGTATAGGGGATTTTTTTTTTGCCCCCCTCTCCACCTCTGGGAGAGGGAGGGAAAAAATTTTGTTCAAGGTTAGAGAGGAAGTTCCAGGGAAGGACCTGATTGCCAAAGGCTTGGCAGTAAGCAACAACAGCCCCAGCATTGCCAGAACCCTGGCTGTGCACTGTCCAGCAGAGATGTGCATTTCTTCTTACTCTGGACCTGGCCCATTCTGGGAGGGGTCATTGAGGTATAACTGCCATCAGAGACACCCAGCAGGAGCTGGTGGGAAGAGGAGGGATGGCCTGAGTGGTGGCTGGAGCGTGTATGTTATCTTGTCTATAAGCTGGAGATTAAAGTACTTATCTTTGCCTGACTTGTTATAAGAATTAAATGAGATGACCTCTGGGAAAGCATTTTGCCAAGTGTGTGATGCTGGTCTAGTGGGAAGGAATGAGGCACTTCCTTCTCTTGCTGCCTGACCGAGCTTCCCGCCAGCCCCACCCTGGTGTTTACCTGCCAGCCACAGGGTCAGGAGAGAGTAAGTGAAGTGGGCAGCTACATCCGTGAGGGAGAGGGTGAGGGTGAGGGTGAGGGTGAGGGTGAGGGTAAGGGTGAAGGGAGGGTGGGCCAGGGAGTGGCAGAGAGGGAAACTGGAAGCCAGGACCTCGGCCCTGCTAAGGAAGGGCCCACTCGCTGCACTGCTTGCACTGACTTGCTCTGGCTCTTTCCTGGCACTGTGTGGGCGCTATATCTCTGCCTGAGTTCCCCTGGGCTAGGTCAGTTAACCCCCCCCCCCCCCCCCCCCGGTCTGTTAACAAGGCCAGGGGTGAGCAAGCAGACTGATGTGAATGTCCTCTGGGCAGTAGCAACTTTCTCTAGCATTTCCACTTCAGAAAAGAGGACACTTCTTCCAGCAGACGCCCCCTCCCCAGCTGACAGTGTCTATGGGCAGAAAGGACTCTGACTCCAAAGGGTTTGCTTTGTTTTCTAGGGATCTCTGCTTCCCAGAAGAGAAGAGAATCCTTCCTGCCCTAATTCCTTCCCCCAGGTCCAGCTTCCTAAGATTCTCCAACTGCTCTCCTGAGACAGCCCTGTCTCCTGCCTCTGCCCTTCACCCATGGCCTGCGTGAGAAGGTGCCAATAACAAGCCTTGCTTCCAACCCACCCAGAGAGAGGGAATCTGGGCTCAGGCTGGCCCTGAAGAAAGCCCAGAGGGTTTGGGGACCTCACTTGTGGGGGGAGGGGGTTCTTATGGCTCTTAAGATGAAGAGGACAGTATCTTCTGTAGCGTTTCCCTTAGTGCTCAGAAGCTGCCCAGTTAGAAAGCACATGCGTACTTGGGGAAACTATTAGAGGAAAAGGGGGATGGCTCATTCTGTCTGTAAATAAAGTAAGTGGAAATGAATTCAAGCTGCAGGCAGAGCTGCTGGTTTCACCAGAGCCAAGGGTTGGTGACAAGGAAAAGAGCAGTGTGCCTGCACTCCCTGGGATCAGAATGCACACACCACACATGTACTGTGTGCATGTGCTTTATAATCATATACTTTCCTAGCTTTTACAGTGCCTACGGGCTTATTTCAACACCTTCAGCTGCTGTATCCACCCATAAAATTATGAGTGTAAAAGCATTTTGCAAACTCTAATATTCCATGAAGAAGAAAGCATTACTATAATTATTATGCCTGATAGGTACGATTCCTGTTGCCTACCTCTTAGCTACATGAAGCCTAAAGTGAGGGAGGACTTGGTCATTCCTCGCTTCTGAGACTCCTTGTCCTTTTCCTCTTCCAGCTGTTCACAGCTGGTTGCTAAACTGAAGACACAGGAAAGCAGAGAAAAGGTGATTTACTGGGGCACAGATACAGGATGAGAGCGATGGCATGTGTTCTCTTAAAGTCGGAGTCACTGGCCTGCGTCTCTGATGGGGAGAGTTAGGGAAGGGCAGCATGATGGGATTTAGAAGAAAGGAACTGGGAAGGATCTGGGCCTCCTGCTCCCCCGCATCTACTCGTACCTTGGCCTTGCCGGTCATGCCCAGGAGGAAGCTGAAGGTCCGTCGCAGGGAGGAGCCTGCCCAGGTGCCTGAGCCCCCTTCCAGCTGGCTGCAGCTGCAGAGAGTGAAAAAAGAGGTAAGGAGATGGAGACAGAGCTGGAAAAGAAGAAAAGACTGTTTCTGGGGAGATGGTGGGCAAAGATGTCCTGCTCGGCAGACAGGGAATAGATTTATGAAGACAGGCTCTGAGGGAAGAAGGATGGAAAGAAAAACAACCTGCACCTTCTAAGGTCTGGATGTGGACACTTCAGTTTTCCAAGCCCCTTTACTTATAAAGAAAACTCCAAGCTCCTCCCAGATCCATGCAGACTCGCCCTCCTACCTAAGCCAGGCACCCTGGCTCTGGATGGGAATGGACTGGACCAGAGGGCCCAATCTCCTCTCTCCCTACTCCCCCAACGGAAGTGTAACTGGGTGAGGTCCCTCCAGGGGGGCATTTTCCCCTCTCAGAACAAGAGCCCTGTGTGCGACCCTCTGCTGTTTGGAAAGGGCCTCTGGGCCTAACGCCAGTAAGGACTGAATTTCCTGGGATTTCATCAGCCCCATCCCATGAGCTAATCCCAAATCTAGAGCCAGGAAGATGTGTCAGCTGGAGAAATTCAGGACCACAAATCAGAGCCTGTTATCTTAAAGGGCCCACTACTTGGTCACACAGCAATGCTGTAAGTATTACCGGTATTGCCAGGCTTCAGCCACAGGAGCCAAATAAACAGGTGCTGATCTTGCATGCTTGTTTACATGGTTAGGAAGATCTGGCCTCTCTTCTGATTCCTGAACTACACCTCCAGGCCCTGCCCTTTCTGGAAGCTCTATAGCCCTGACATCGCTTGCCTAGGACTGCTATCCACTGGCCAAGTATCTCAGCCATTCGGAGCCCAACCAAGACTGTCCTACAGGTAGGTTCACTGCCGCTCATCACTCATTACTGTGTCACTCCGAACAGTGAGCGGCACAGCACCGGTTCTCCAGTGTCACTGACACTGCCAGCCTTTCTTTCCCTAGTTTCACGCCCCATCCCTTGGGGCTATCTCAAAGCTCAGGAAGAGCGTAAATTCTGAGCAGCTCAGACTGGAAGCTACTTGGAGATCTTTAATCAGAAATATTAAGGGAAACTTTATCAGGAAGCAGAGAGACCCTTGAGGCTGCAAAATCGGTCGCCCAGCCCTATCGCTCCTCCCCCATCTGTACCTTTGAAGGGATTTTAGTCTCCCAAACTCACCGAGTGCTGAGGTCAGTGGCAGAGGTCTGGGACAAATTCCCTGCCAATACAAAAGAAGAGAAGTGTCCAGGGCTAGCTAAAGCCAGACAAAGGCGCCCAGGGCTGACTCCCCAACCCCCTCCACCTGGATCAGGTTCCCAGGCTGCAGGTGCCTGTGACGCCATTCCTGAGGGCGGGTGCTAGGGAGCAGGGACAAAGGGCGGGGTCTAAGCCAAGCAGAGCTGAAGAACTTGGGACCAGGGTTCTGTGAGGTGGAAGCCTAATGCTTTGGCTATGTCTCAGGTGCCTGGGCTGGGCTGAGGTTTCACACTGAACTTGCAATGCTGTGTTTTTTTGTTTTTTTGTTTTTGGTTCCAGGGATCAAACTCAGGACCTTGAGCTTGACAAGCAGGCACTTGTGCCACTGAGCTGTCTCTATCTTGAGAGGGAATGATCCTCCACCTCTAGTGACAGAGAAAGCTGGAGGAATTCATTGTGTCCTATGACCCCCTCAGTGACGGGGGAAAGCCAGAGTCCTAAATCAAGGTCTCATTTGAACCAGGACATTTTGGGGCCTCCAGGAGTACGTGGTGTGGACCCTAAACAGTTGGTTCTAAGGATCAGAGCTAAAGAGGACTAGAGAAGGGGCTCCACTGCTTTGCTTCCTTCTTTTTCTCACCTTCTGGATCCGAGTAGTCCAGGAGGCAGTTGATGCCACTCATAGATACAGACTTGCAAAGCATGTGAGTAGTCGCGTGGTCCAGGGAGTCTGCAGATGGATGGTCGGAGCCCAGGCCCTAAAATTATGCAAGAGTCCTCATGCAGAGGTCTTCCTCATCCGCCTTCCTCCACCCACAGTCCCCTCTTGGCCAACGCTTGGCTGTTCTTCATGTCCAGACCTTCCGTCCCTCTCCACTCCCCACACATCTACGATATTCTACTTGCAATAGCTGGGGAGCCATTCCTGTTCTCAGACCATGGCTCTGCTGCAGTAAACATGGGCTTTTCCCCCCTTTTAAAGTATTTTTAAATTTATATTTATTTATTTATTTATTTTTGGAACCAGGGATTGTACTCACACCCTTGTGCTTGCCAGGGAAGTGCTTATTCTACTGAGCCATCTCCCCTGCCCCAGTATTTTTAAATTTATACATAGTAATTTACATAGTCATGGGAGTATAGTGTGATATTTTGATATGTATATACACAGTATAACAGGCTTTCTATAGAAAATACCTTAGAAAATATTCATTCTGAATGATTTCCAGAGATCATAAACTCAATGTGTAGCAGCCAGGCAAGTAATGTACTAAACTGAGGCAGTCTAGATTTAAGATTACAGGGAGTAAAAACATTCATAAACTGTGTCCAAGCTTCAGAGAAGCTTTTTTGTTGTTGTTGTTTTCCTCAAATATGCATGGAAGGAACAACTGGGATGAAGGAAAGGAGAAAAGAGAGAAAGGAAGAAACAAAGCAAAGTATATACACAGGATAGCTTGATTGCTACCGGTCTATTGAAAGGAATGGTTAGTGCTTAAATCTTTTTAATTTTTTTAATTAATTAATTAATTATTATTTTTTTTTTTTTTGTGGAACCGGGGATTGAACTCAGATCCTTGCGTTTGCCAGTCAAGCGCTTATCCTACTGAGACATCTCCCCAGCCCCAATCTTTTTAATTTTTTTGACCAATTTCACATGTTTATATCTGGTAATCTGAACAACTAAGTTGAACAGTAGCATACAATATAACAACTATTGTTAAATTCATATCATTTTGTTTAGTGAAATTTTGTATAATTTCCAACGTTTTTGTACTTTTTAAAATTCTCTTTTAAAAAAATATGCATGGAGCATTACAAAAAATGGCCACACATTAGGGCATAAGGAAAATTTTTTCTCTTCTCTTTCTTTCTTTTTTTTTTTTTTTTTTCAGAACCAGGGAATGAACTCAGACCCTTGCACTTGCCAGAGAAGCACTTTTTCTACTGAACCATCTCCCCAGTCCCAGGAAAATTTTTTTAGCACATGTCAAATAATCTGTACCATAGAGATTTTAGCAAATAACCCAGACGTTCCTCTTTAGTAGGCTAAATAAAGAATCTGTAATATATTATACATTAAAATACTACTCAACAATAAAAAATGGACAAGCCATATCTCACTTAACAATATGGATGTGTCTTATAAACATAATGTAGAGTGGAAGAATCAAGACACAAAAGATTAGCTGGGTGTGGTGGCACACATCTGTGATACCAACACTCTGGGAGGCTAAGGCAAGAGGATCACTGGTTTGATCGTAGCCTAGGGAATTTAGTGAAACCCTCTTCTAAAGAAAGAA